AGAGGAGCTTACGACGTTAGTGTGACTTTATAAATGGTCAAAGTCAGACCGAAACGTCGTCGTAAGCTCCTCTCTCCTATGTGCAGGTTATTAGTGTATTTTATGCATTGCTTCTTGATGAATTGTAGCCTATTGTAGTTTAGAATTGTTTTCTTTGAATACTGAGTAATGATAAGCATCAGAGAACAAGCTGGTTTCTTGTTTATACTGATTTGTAGTTACAGGAGCAGATCTGTACTCATGGTAGTTACTTATTTGTGGTTACCTGTTTTAGTTGGCAGGGGTAAGCTCTAGTTCTTGGTCCCACCTCTTAGCTTATGACTGGGTGATGGGATTGAGCCTTGTCATGTCTGTTGTTGAGTTTCTGTATGGAGTTTGCTTCTTTGTAGTCTTCAGTGCCTGTAGTTAGATGAATAGAACTGTCTACCTGGAGAGTGTTCCGGGGGTCAGTGCCCCCGCGGCTCAGTCCATGACTAGACCTCGCTGTGGATTAGGGACCGATTCACCAGGCCTCACCGTGGATCAGGGACTAATCCAACAGGCCTCGCTGTGGATCAGGGACTGATTCACCAGACTGTTACTGCTGGCCACACATAGTAGTGTACAAACCACAGCCCGGCTGTTTAATTTTGATGTGCAAGGATGTTGTGGGTTTAAATCTGAACTTATCTAACTTGAATCCAAGGTTTCATTTTCTCTCTTAGATTTTTTATTTATTAACACATTGGCCGATTCCCACCAAGGCAGGGTGGACTGAAAAAGAAAAACTTTCATCATCATTCACTCCATCACTGTCTTGCCAGAGGGGTGTTTCACACTACAGTTATAAAACTGCAACATTAACACTCCTCCTTCAGAGTGCAGACATTGTACTTCCCATCTCTAGGACTCAAGTCCAGCCTGCCGGTTTCCCCGACTCTCTTCATAAATGTTACTTTGCTCGCACTCCAACAGCATGTCAAGTATTAAAAACCATTTGTCTCCACTCCTATCAAATACGCTTATGCACGCTTGCTGTAAGTCCGAGCCCCTTGCACACAAAACTTTTACCCTCTCCCTCCAATCCTTCCTAGGCCAACCCCTACCCCGCCTTCCCTCCACTACAGATTTATACACTCTCGAGGTCATTCTGTTTTGTTCCATTTTCTCTACATGTCCGAACCACCTCAGCAACCCCTCCTCAGCCCTCTGGATAATAGCTTTGGTAATCCCACACCTCCTAATTTCCAAACTACGAATTCTCTGCATTATATACACACCGCACATTGCCCTCAGGCATTACATCTCCACTGCCTTCTCATCTCTTAGATATGTTCTGTAATTTATTTACATTCTCTTCTCAACAAGTCGGTCGTCTCCCACCGAGGCAGGGTGACCCAAAAAAAAAGAAAGAAAATCCCCAAAAAGAAAATACTTTCATCATCATTCAACACTTTCACCACATGCACACATTATCACTGCTTTTGCAGAGGTGCTCAGAATACAACAGTTTAGAAGCATATACATATAAAGATACACAACATATCCCTCCAAACTGCCAATATCCCAAACCCCTCCTTTAAAGTGCAGGCATTGTACTTCCCATTTCCAGGACTCTGTTTATATATTCTTTTTTAACACACCTGATGTCTCCCACAGTGATGTGAAAAAGAATTTAAAGGTTTTCTTGTTTTTAAAGGGAAGGTGTTACTATCCCCTTGCTTGCAGTGTTTTATTCACCTCTTATGACACACATTATAGATTATCTGATAAAATTCTACAAACCTCAGAGGGAAAATTAAAGATCTGGAGTTAGTTATAAATAAAAGGTTCACAAGAAGCAGTTGAATGTTTACTACTGCTGAATTGCAGTATAAACTTACATTGACCCTTTCACTGCCGGTCCCATAATATTATGCCAGAATTCTAGTGGCATCAAATCTTGCAGGAGAAAGCTGGTAAGCCTACATATGAGAGAATGGGTGTGAGTGGTCAGTGTGCACGGTATAAAAAATTCCTGCAGCACGTAGTGCATAATGAGAAAAAAAAAACTGACTGTGTTTTTGGTTTTAAACAGCAAATTTGCAGTGTTTTCATATGGTATTTATGGTTGTATTCTCATTTTTTCTTGGTCTCATTTGATAGAATGGAAAATAATTTGCAGAACTAGAGATGATTTTGAATGGTTTATGGGCTAAAAGTACAGTACCTTGAAATTGAGCTCAAAGTAGAGGAAATGTTTGATTTTTGCTGACGTTCAAGAATAAACAGATCACGTCACACATCCAATACACTTCAACTAGTGGGTCTAATATTGTTTCACAAATCTTCTATTTTTTGTGTGAATAAAAATCCAAAATGGAAAGCAAACGTATAATAAGAAGGACCTGGAGACGTGACTAATGCACAGAGAAAACATTGTTTTAGTTCTTTATTTTTGCAAGTACATGATACAACTTATACAGACTATAGCTGACATCAGTGATATACTATATAGAAAGTCCCTGGTTATGGAGAGCATTTTCCTCAACTTAGGTTGATTTTGTCCCCAGGATGCAACCCACACCAGTTGGCTAACACCCTGGTACTTATTTATTGCTACGTGAACAGCTGTAGGTAATTCTTCTTTCAACACACCGGCCGTATCCCACCGAGGCGGGGTGGCCCAAAAGGAAAAACGAAAGTTTCTCCTTTTACATTTAGTAATATATACAGGAAAAGGGGTTACTAGCCCCTTGCTCCCGGCATTTTAGTCGCCTCTTACAACACACATGGCTTACGGAGGAAGAATTCTGTTCCACTTTCCCATGGAGATAAGAGGAAATAAACAAGAACAAGAACTAGAAAGAAAATAGAAGAAAACCCAGAGGGGTGTGTGTATATATATATGCTTGTACATTGTAGATGAGTGGTTCAAAGAACCGACATGTTGTTAAATTAGACACATGTGCAACTCTTGGGTATCTTTATTGAGGAAACGTTTTGCCACACAGTGGCTTCATCAGTCCATACAAAGGAGAAACTTGAAGAACAGGAGGAGAATGAGGTAATCAGTCCCTCAACCTTGAGTCGATGTGGTCAGTCCATCAATCTTGAATAGAATACGGCATATAAGCGGAGAAGCAGCTTGTAAACCGTATGGCAGGAGAGGTGCAGCAGTCATAGGTGGTGTCACATTTGTCCAATGTGGAAGTAGGTCGTGCCCAAGGGTTAGGCAAGCGAAGAATTCCTAAGTATTAAGATACCAAGAAGTTGCAGTGTCTGACAGGATTGTAGATGAGTGGTTCAAAGAACCGACATGTTGTTAAATTAGACACATGTGCAACTCTTGGGTATCTTTATTGAGGAAACGTTTCACCACACAGTGGCTTCATCAGTCCATACTCAAGGTTGAGGGACTGATTACCTCATTCTCCTCCTGTTCTTCAAGTTTCTCCTATGTATGGACTGATGAAGCCACTGTGTGGCGAAACATTTCCTCAATAAAGATACCCAAGAGTTGCACATGTGTCTAATTTAACATGCTTGTACATGTATGTGTAGTGTGACCTAAGTGTAAGTAGAAGTAGCAAGACATACCTGAAATCTTGCATGTGTATGAGACAGAAAAAAAAAAAAGACACCAGCAATCCTACCATCGTGTAAAACAATTACAGGCTTCAGTTTTACACTCACTTGGCAGGACGGTAGTACCTCCCTGGGTGGTTGCTGTCTACCAACCTACTACCACAGGACAGTAGTACCTCCCTGGGCGGTTACCTACTACCACAGGACGGTAGTACCTCCCTGGGAGGTTACCTACTACCACAGGACGGTAGTACCTCCCTGGGTGGTTGCTGTCTACCAACCTACTACCACAGGACAGTAGTACCTCCCTGGGCGGTTACCTACTACCACAGGACGGTAGTACCTCCCTGGGTGGTTACCTACTACCACAGGACGGTAGTACCTCCCTGGGTGGTTGCTGTCTACCAACCTACTACCACAGGACGGTAGTACCTCCCTGGGTGGTTGCTGTCTACCAACCTACTACCACAGGACGGTAGTACCTCCCTGGGTGGTTGCTGTCTACCAACCTACTACCACAGGACGGTAGTACCTCCCTGGGTGGTTGCTGTCTACCAACCTACTAACCACGGACAGTATACCTCCCTGGGCGGTTACCTACTACCACAGGACGGTAGTACCTCCCTGGGCGGTTACCTACTACCACAGGACGGTAGTACCTCCCTGGGTGGTTGCTGTCTACCAACCTACTACCACAGGACAGTAGTACCTCCCTGGGCGGTTACCTACTACCACAGGACGGTAGTACCTCCCTGGGCGGTTACCTACTACCACAGGACGGTAGTACCTCCCTGGGTGGTTACCTACTACCACAGGACGGTAGTACCTCCCTGGGTGGTTGCTGTCTACCAACCTACTACCTAGGAGCTGTAGGTAATATGTATTAAAAATACTGAAAACTCAAAAAATCTATAACAGAAATAGTCATTGTGAAACCACAAGCAAAACTGCTCCTGTATCTATAAATTAGTAGTGAATGACAAATAGATAATGACAAAAATATAATAAAAGGCATATGCTGCAAATGAAAGATTTCTAGCTTACTAATACAGTAAAAATGTCTTTCTCAGTATAACAGTAACATTTTTATTATAATCTTCATTTTTGAAGGAATGTAATCCTTTGTAATAGGTCAGTAATAAGTTTTCTCTAGTCTAATATACAGTAAATGGTTACATTGTCTGAACTCTGTTTACAGTAATGATCACTTTTTCCTGTAGTACTATACAGCAACTATTTTCAGTGTTCCATGTTTTTTTTTGTGCTTTCAGTTGAGCCATTGTTCCACTCACCAGTGAGTCAACAACAGGTGGAACAATGGCTCAGTCTGATGCCATTGAAAACGTGGAATACCGAAACAAAGGTGCTGCATATGCAGGGACCTCCTGCAGTTATTTTTGTATAATTTAAATCTTATTTATAATGAATGTAAAATGATTTTGTAATTTCTACAGCGGAAACTGAAATACAGATGATTGACGATCTACCTGAGGGAGACTATTACCCCCCGGTGGATGGGGTGGTACAATCTGCATCTTCATCTCCTCGGTGTAATACCCTCACCGGTCACAGGTCACCCCCCACACACCACAAGGCTACAGGCATCAAGAAAATTTTCACCAGGTCAGTTTATGCCATTAGTACACTAAGAGATAACACAGTAAGTGTCAAGGGTCCATCTGCCTCCTGCCATACATAAGGGAGATTACCAGTAGACCCCTGGCTGTATTCAAGAGGGAGCTGAAGAGACACATGAAGTCAGTACCTGACCAGACGGGCTGTGGTTCCTCCGGCAGTCTGTGTATGGCTAGAACTACTGCTGGACAGTCTGACTTGGAACAGTTCACTTCACCGCACTCCAGTACATTATCAGTTATCCAGTGCCATCAGGATGAAGCTGAAACAGATTTTTAAAAGCAAGATAATCCACAGTATCTATTCAGATTCTCTGTACTGTGAAAAAAAAATAACGTTAAGCACCAGACCTATAATCATAATAATAATAATCATTATATCTACAAGTACATGCAACTTATACAAACCATAGCTGACATCAGTGACATACTGTCTAGAAAGTCCCTGGTTATCCAGAGCATTTCCTACAACTTAGGTTAATTTTGTCCCCAGGATGCCACCTACACCAGTCTACTAACACCCAGTACCAAATAACAGATCACTGGATAATACATAATATACTGTACATATATATAAAACATCTGATAACACTACATAACAACAATCTGCTCTTACTAAAAATTATAACAAATGGTTAAAATGTAATATGTTGTAATTTCAGTACCTTTGGAGAAGTTTGAGTTTGCTATTTTGCTAGTTTTCTATTGTTATTTAGATATAATTTATATACAAAAGAAAACAAAATAAAAGTTTATTTCTTTGCAAAGATTACAATGTGTATTTACATTTCATAATTTGATTGGTACAAAGAAAGCCGCTATCATGCCGAGGCATCTCGGGCAAACTTAACCTAATACACCTACCATCCGACTTACGACCTGTTTGACTTACGACCACTCGACTTACAACCATGTTTTTTATGCCAAATTTCTGGGAAATAAACAACTATTTATGTTGTACACAGTGTTTATCCTAAACCTTACAGTATAAAATACAGTACTAACAACATAAAAAGTAAAGTAAAACATGAAATACCAAAATAAAACAATAAAATAAAGTCATTACAAAAATGTTTTGTTGAGATTCATTAGTAAAGTTCGACTTACGACCATTTCGACTTACGACCGGTTTCTCGGAATCGAACTCTGTCATAAGTCGGATGGTAGGTGTACTTAGACTACTTAAGTCTAGATAGGTAAAGAGTGGTAAATTTCATATATTCAATATTTTCCTTTATTATTAATATGAGGTAGTACAATTTATGATACAAACATACTTTATCAGGTTTGTAATAATGGTTTAATAGATAAGGGATAATAAAATATTTGAGAGAGTTGCTTCAAATTTGGCTAGAGATTAGCATAGTGTGGGTATGGTTATTATTGAGAGAAGAGATTATTTTTCCTAGGTAGTAGGTTGGTAGACAGCCACCGCCCTGGGAGGTGCGTACTACTGTCCTGTCAGGTGAGTGCAAAACGGAAACCTGTAATTGTTTTACATTATGGTAGGATTGTTGCTGTCTTTTTTCTGTCTCATAAACATGCAAGGTTTCAGGTACATCTTGCTACTTCTACTTACACTTAGGTCACACTACACATACATGTACAAGCATATATATACACACCCCTCTGGGTTTTCTTCTATTTTCTTTCTAGTTCTTGTTTATTTCCTCTTATCTCCATGGGAAAGTGGAACAGAATTCTTCCTCCGTAAGCCATGCGTGTCATAAGAGGCGACTAAAATGCTGGGAGCAAGAGGCTAGTAACCCCCCTTCTCCTGTATACATTATTAAAGTTAAAAAGAGAAACTTTTGTTTTCCTTTTTGGGCCACCCTCACTTGGTGGGATACGGCCGGTTTTTGGAAATAATAATAATAATAATAATGGTGGTTGGGGATTTCAATGCTAAAGTGGATAAAAATGTTATAGAGGGAGTAGTAGGTAAATTTGGGATGCCAGGGGTAAATGTAAATGGGGAGCCTTTAATTGAGCTATGTGTAGAAAGAAATTTGGTAATAAGTAATACATATTTTGTGAAAAAGAGGATAAATAAATATACAAGGTATGATGTAGCACGTAATGAAAGTAGTTTGTTAGATTATGTATTGGTGGATAATAGGTTGATGGGTAGGCTCCAGGATGTACATGTTTATAGAGGGGCAACTGATATATCGGAGAATTATTTAGTTGTAGCTACAGTTAGAGTAAGAGGTAGATGGGAAAAGAGGAAGGTGGCAACAACAAGTAAGAGGGAGGTGAAAGTGTATAAACTAAGGGAGGAGGAAGTTCGGGCGAGATATAAGTGACTATGGCAGAAAGGTGGGCTAGTGCAAAGATGAGTAGTGGGGGGGTTGAAGAGGGTTGGAATAGTTTTTAAAAATGCAGTATTAGAATGTGGGCAGAAGTTTGTGGTTATAGGAGGGTGGGGGCAGGAAGAAAGAGGAGTGATTGGTGGAATGATGAAGTAAAGTGTGATAAAAGAGAAAAAGGTAGCTTACGAGAGGTTTTTACAAAGCAGAAGTGTTATAAGAAGAGCAGAGTATATGGAGAGTAAAAGAAAGGTGAAGAGAGTGGTGAGAGAGTGCAAAAGGAGAGCAGATGAAAGAGTGGGAGAGGCACTGTCAAGAAATTTTAATGAAAATAAGAAAAAATTTTGGAGTGAGTTAAACAAGTTAAGAAAGCCTAGGGAAAGTATGGATTTGTCAGTTAAAAACAGAGTAGGGGAGTTAGTAGATGGGGAGAGGGAGGTATTAGGTAGATGGCGAGAATATTTTGAGGAACTTTTAAATGTTGAGGAAGAAAGGGAGGTGGTAATTTCATGCACTGGCCAGGGAGGTATACCATCTTTTAGGAGTGAAGAAGAGCAGAATGTAAGTGTGGTGAGGTACGTGAGGCATTACGTAGAATGAAAGGGGTAAAGCAGCTGGAACTGATGGGATCATGACAGAAATGTTAAAAGCAGGGGGGATATATAGTGTTGGAGTGGTTGGTACTTTTGTTTAATAAATGTATGAAAGAGGGGAAGGTACCTAGGGATTGGCGGAGAGCATGTATAATCCCTTTATATAAAGGGAAAGGGGACAAAAGAGATTGTAAAAATTATAGAGGAATAAGTTTACTGAGTATACCAGGAAAAGTATACGGAAGGGTTATAATTGAAAGAATTAGAGGTAAGACAGAATGTAGGATTGCGGATGAGCAGGGAGGCTTCAAATTGGGTAGGGGATGTGTAGATCAAGTGTTTACATTGAAGCATATATGTGAACAGTATTTAGATAAAGGTAGGGAAGTTTTTATTGCATTTATGGATTTAGAAAAGGCATATGATAGAGTGGATAGAGGAGCAATGTGGCAGATGTTGCAAGTATATGGAATAGGTGGTAAGTTACTAAGTGCTGTAAAGAGCTTTTATGAGGATAGTGAGGCTCAGGTTAGGGTGTGTAGAAGAGAGGGAGAATACTTCCCGGTAAAAGTAGGTCTTAGACAGGGATGTGTAATGTCACCATGGTTGTTTAATATATTTATAGATGGGGTTGTAAAAGAAGTAAATGCTAGGGTGTTCGGGAGAGGGGTGGGATTAAATTATGGGGAATCAATTTCAAAATGGGAATTGACACAGTTACTTTTTGCTTCTAAACTGTTGTATTCTGAGCACCTCTGCAAAAGCAGTGATAATGTGTGAGTGTGGTGAAAGTGTTGAATGATGAAAGTATTTTCTTTTTGGGGATTTTCTTTCTTTTTTGGGTCACCCTGCCTCGGTGGGAGACGGCCGACTTGTTAAAAAAAAAAAAAAAATAATAATAATAATAATAATAATAATAATAATAATCTTTATTTCTACCAGTACATGTGCAAGGCATCCAGACCATAACTGACATCAGTGACACTACTATATAGAGAGTCCCTTGTTATGCAGAGCATTTCCCCCAAATTAATTAATTATTTCTTTGCACAATATACAATGTGTGATTTTCAAGTTATAAATTATTGTTTAGTACACATGTTATTAAATATGTTAAGTACAAAGAAAGCCACTAGCCTACCTGGCATTTTGGGCAGACTAATACTCATGTTTACACAGAACTCAAAGCTAGACATAGCATATTAACATAATGTGAGCACATTCAATGTTTTAATGGTTGTGAGGATTGCAGATATTAAAAATAAGATTATGTATATTGTTTTCCATATGTTAGTGAGAGTGAGAATATGGATATATAGATTTGACTTATTTACCTGGTGTTGGGATATGTTAGGGAGAGAAGGTGTTTTTTAACAGTAGTTATGAAGATGCCGGCTGAGACAGTGGCCCTGGAGATTTCTGGCATTAGGTCACTTTTGTCTCCAGGCTGTGACCCACACTAGTCAGCTAACAACATGTTTAGGTTTAAAATAGTTAATATGGCAAAAAAGCTTTGCCCAATGTATTGTTTACATAATTACTCTTGAAACAGGTTGCGGCGTAGTAGTTCTGGTCATCTAGAGAGCGACTTGGGAGATGGAGACTTCAGGCGCGGGGGAATGAGAGCTACTGCTTCAGCTCGCCTTGGCTGGACGTCTCCCACAATCTCTTTTAAAGAGTATGCTCTCCATTTATTTTCTGTAAACAAATATCATAGATTAACTCTAGTAGACTGGTTGGCCATGGTAGTCCTTACATGTGCTACTGTTGTAATTATTGGTTGGCCATGATAGGCCTTGGAAGTAGTACTACCATAGTAATTATTTGTAGATAGAGGAGTTGGTCATTGTAGGCCTTGGAAGTGTTACTGTGGTAATTACTTATCTGTAGCTAGTAGACTAGTAACATTTATTAAGGGATTCGGGAAAACCAGTTAGTCAGTTTTGAGTCCTGAGGGTGGGAAGTATAATGCCTGAACTCTGATGGAGGAGTGGAGATATGTTGCAGTTTTTGAATTGTAGCGTGGGCACGCCTCTGGCATGACAGTGACGGAGCGAGCGATGATGAAAGTGTTTCTTCTTTTTTGGGTCACTCTGCCTTGGTGGGAAATGGCCGATGTGTTAATAATAAAAAAAGCTGGTAGACTGCTTGGCCATGTTAGGCCATAGATGTGCTACTGTGGTAATTACTTATTTATAGCTTCAGAAGCAAAGTGAAGTTTGTTCTGTTTTTACTATTTAGTCTAGAGATAAGTTTTGGTTGTATTAGAGTGGGTGTCCATGCAGGGAAAACTTAGATGTTCAGTGTATTTAAGTCATCCTTGATTTAGCTGCAAATAGAAATACAGTGTAACTTGGGTGAGCATGTTAGATCAAAGTTAGTGGAGGCAAGAGATTTTATGACTTGATGAGCTGTTGGAGTGTAAACAAGGTAACATTTAGAAAGATTTCAGGGAAACTGGTTAGCTAGACTTGAGTGTATTGGTGGGAAGTACAGTACCTGCACTCTGAAGGATGGAGGATGTTGATGTTTAAAATATCATTGGAACTGTCATGGTGAATGTGTTTTTTTTTTTTTTTAGTGAGAGACAGTAGGTGTTTAAAAAAAAAATCCTTTCATATGTTATACTGTGCTTTTTTTTTTTTAGGCCAAATGAAACTTTTAGCGGATGGAGCATTGAAACAGTGGAAGGATGGCTTGGAGCTCTTGGACTGAGTCAGTACTGTTCAGCTGTCCGTACTTGGTCATCATCTGGTCACCATCTGTCTAAAGCCACACCACAACAACTGGAACGAGAGCTAGGCATTCGTCATCCGCTACATCGAAAGAAACTTCAGTTAGCAATTGCAGCAAGAATGTCAGGGGAGCAAATAAATACACCATTATCCCGACTGGACCATTCCTGGGTATTACGCTGGCTGGATGATGTGGGTTTACCACAATATAAAGATTCCTTCAGTGAGGCTCGTATTGATGGTAGAGTTCTCAACTGCTTAACATACGATGATTTATCTTTCCTTCGCCTCTCGAACCTCTTACATGTCACGTCCCTCAAGCGAGGTATTCAAGTAAGTGCATTATACAGTATGAATATTGAAAAATATAATGAGAGTGAGTGTTGATGAAAGTGTTTCTTCTTTCTTGGGTCACCCTACGCCAGTAGGCGATGGCCGGTAAGTTAAAAATAAAGAAGAAGAATTGTTTTATTAAAGTTATTTCTTCAACAAACCGAGGAATGTTACGGTTAGTTGACTGCAATTTTTTTTTCCTGTATACTTAGCAGTAAAATATTTTCATATAGTCGGACTTGAGTCCTGGAAATGGGAAGTACAATGCCTGCACTTTAAAGGAGGGGTTTGGGATATTGGCAGTTTGGAGGGATATGTTGTGTATCTTTATACGTATATGCTTCTAAGCTGTTGTATTCTGAGCACCTCTGCAAAAACAGTGATTATGTGTGAGTGTGGTGAAAGTGTTGAATGATGATGAAAGTATTTTCTTTTTGGGGATTTTCTTTCTTTTTTGGGTCACTCTGCCTCGGTGGGAGACGGCCGACTTGTTGAAAAAAAAAAAAAAAAAAACTTAGTAGTAGGTGTAAGACTAAAGAATTAATGTATGTAAGGTTGAGGAGCATAGGGAAGGTGAGAAGAAACTGGGTGTTGCCACAGAACTATATGGAACACAACAGAAGGCAACATCAGTAAGAAAAGGAACTACAGTGTGGGGTTAATAATGATAGTACAAACAAAACAAGGTATTGAACACTGAAAATTATGTATTTGAGAAACTTTGAAAGTGACGGAGTAATAAGGAGAAAATGGAAAGCAATTATATACCTGAATTGTTTTATGTAATAATGAAACACTATCTTTTAACCTTAAAAAATATGTATCGAATATAGGAACACTGGAAAGGTTATATTTGGAACTGTCGTATGTACTTGCCTCTGGCAAAACAGTGATAGTGTGAATGATGGTTTAAGTGTTTCTTTTTCGCATCACATTTCCTTAGTGGGAGACAGTTTATATATTAATTTTTTTTTTTTAATCAGTATTGTTATATTTTTTGAAATCCTGCCAGTTTTGCAAATTATTATAATCATAACTAAGTGCTAAACCCATAAGGGTCATACAGTACTGGGAAATTATTGATGTTGTGTAAGCATTCAAGTTATTTGTTAAAGATAAGGTTTGTAGGAGGTTTATGATAATTTCACTAGTTTTGTTATAATATAACTACGATTTATCAAAATTGTTATTCACACATATGCAGTATAATGTGATCCTTTATTGACAACGTTTCACCCACACAGTGGGCTTTTTCAAGTCACACACAGATCTGTGTGTGACTTGAAAAAGCCCACTGTGTGGGCGAAACGTTGTCAATAAAGGATCACATTATACTGCATATGTGTTTATATTTCCACTGTGTCGGTATTTAATACCATTTATTTCCATTGTTATTCACTTTTTTTAGGTTTTACGAGAGCATAACTTTGATCCCTCTGTGCTGAAGCGCCGTTCAGTGCCAGATGAAGGTCAGAGAATTAGAACGGCGGCGGAAGTTGCCCTTTGGACGAACCACCGGGTCATGGAGTGGCTACGAACTGTTGACCTCTCTGAATATGCTCCCAATCTTAGAGGCTCAGGTTTGTTAAATGCAAGATACCGTATTTTGCGGCTTATTAGACGCATTTTTTCTTCCATAAAATGTCTCCAAAAACCACCCTGCGTCCTATCAAGTGAAGGTCAGTGACAGGAGCTATAAGTTTGGGGTGTGGAGTGGGCTGTAGCTCTCCCAGTTATGTCCGATGCCGAGCCATTGACACTAAAACAAGTCTTATAAGCCATGAAATACGATAGTTCTGCCGTGAAATACGATAGTTCTGCATTGTCTGTTGTCTTATAAGAACTTTTTTTGATAGTTTGGTAAAGCACAAATTTAGTACAGGTGCTCCTTGACTTACAATGGGATTATGTTCCAATGAACCCATAATAAATTGATAAATTGTAAGTCAAAAATATAAGTCGAATATGAATATATGGGATTCAGGGAAACCGGTTATTTTCATATAGTCGGACTTGAGTCCTGGAAATGGGAAGTACAATGCCTGCACTTTAAAGGAGGGGTTTGGGATATTGGCAGTTTGGAGGGATATGTTGTGTATCTTTATATGTGTATGCTTCTAGACTGTTGTATTCTGAGCACCTCTGCAAAAACAGTGATAATGTGCGAGTGTGGTGAAAGTGTTGAATGATGATGAAAGTATTTTCTTTTTGGGGATTTTCTTTCTTTTTTGGGTCACCCTGCCTCGGTGGGAGACGGCCGACTTGTTGAAAAAAAAAAAAAAAAAAAAAAAAATGAATATATGGTAAATAAATAAGTAAATTAATTACTACTGTCATTGAGTAAGTTTGTAAACAAGTAATTACTGTAACTAAACACCAGTAATGAAAAGTAAATACAGTGGACCCCCGGTTAACGATATTATTTCACTCCAGAAGTATGTTCAGGTGCCAGTACTGACCGAATTTGTTCCCATAAGAAATATTGTGAAGTAGATTAGTCCATTTCAGACCCCCAAACATACACATACAAACGCACTTACATAAATACACTTACATAATTGGTCACATTCGGAGGTAATCGTTATGCGGGGGTCCACTGTATAAATGAATGCAAGTTAGGGATTTACCACCTTCATGCTGGTTAATTAACTTAAGTTTCATCTCCACAGTAATTGTTTTTGCACCATTGTACAGTGGAACCTCAAATATTGAACTTAATCCATTCCAGGGGCTAGTTCTAAATTTGAAAAGTTTGAAAATCGAAGCAATATTTCCCATAAGAAATATTTTTATTTTTTATTATCACACTGGCCGATTCCCACCAAGGCAGGGTGGCCCGAAAAAGAAAAACTTTCACCATCATTCACTCCATCACTGTCTTGCCAGAAGGGTGCTTTACACTACAGTTTTTAAACTGCAACATTAACACACCTCCTTCAGAGTGCAGGCACTGTACTTCCCATCTCCAGGACTCAAGTCCGGCCTGCCGGTTTCCCTGAATCCCTTCATAAATGTTACTTTGCTCACACTCCAACAGCACGTCAAGTATTAAAAACCATTTGTCTCCATTCACTCCTATCAAACACGCTCACGCATGCCTGCTGGAAGTCCAAGCCCCTCGCACACAAAACCTCCTTTACCCCTCCCTCCAACCCTTCCTAGGCCGACCCCTACCCCGCCTTCCTTCCACTACAGACTGATACACTCTTGAAGTTATTCTGTTTCGCTCCATTCTCTCTACATGTCCGAACCACCTCAACAACCCTTCCTCAGCCCTCTGGACAACAGTTTTGGTAATCCCGCACCTCCTCCTAACTTCCAAACTACGAATTCTCTGCATTATATTCACACCACACATTGCCCTCAGACATGACATCTCCACTGCCTCCAGCCTTCTCCTCGCTGCAACATTCATCACCCATGCTTCACACCCATATAAGAGCGTTGGTAAAACTATACTCTACATACATTCCCCTCTTTGCCTCCAAGGACAAAGTTCTCTGTCTCCACAGACTCCTAAGTGCACCACTCACTCTTTTTCCCTCATCAATTCTATGATTCACCTCATCTTTCATAGACCCATCCGCTGACACGTCCACTCCCAAATATCTGAATACGTTCACCTCCTCCATACTCTCTCCCTCCAATCTGATATTCAATCTTTCATCACCTAATCTTTTTGTTATCCTCATAACCTTACTCTTTCCTGTATTCACCTTTAATTTTCTTCTTTGCACACCCTACCAAATTCATCCACCAATCTCTGCAGCTTCTCTTCAGAATCTCCCAAGAGCACAGTGTCATCAGCAAAGAGCAGCTGTGACAACTCCCACCCTGTGTGTGATTCTTTATCTTTTAACTCCACGCCTCTTGCCAAGACCCTCGCATTTACTTCTCTTACAACCCCATCTATAAATATATTAAACAACCACGGTGACATCACACATCCTTGTCTAAGGCCTACTTTTACTGGGAAAAAATTTCCCTCTTTTCTACATACTCTAACTTGAGCCTCACTATCCTCGTAAAAACTCTTCACTGCTTTCAGTAACCTACCTCCTACACCATACACTTGCAACATCTGCCACATTGCCCCCCTATCCACCTGTCATACGCCTTTTCCAAATCCATAAATGCCACAAAGACCTCTTTAGCCTTATCTAAATACTGTTCACTTATATGTTTCACTGTAAACACCTGGTCCACACACCCCCTACCTTTCCTAAAGCCTCCTTGTTCATCTGCTATCCTATTCTCCGTCTTACTCTTAATTCTTTCAATTATAACTCTACCATACACTTTACCAGGTACACTCAACAGACTTATCCCCTATAATTTTTGCACTCTCTTTTATCCCCTTTGCCTTTATACAAAGGAACTATGCATGCTCTCTGCCAATCCCTAGGTACCTTACCCTCTTCCATACATTTATTAAATAATTGCACCAACCACTCCAAAACTATATCCCCACCTGCTTTTAACATTTCTATCTTTATCCCATCAATCCCAGCTGCCTTACCCCCTTTCATTTTACCTACTGCCTCACGAACTTCCCCCACACTCACAACTGGCTCTTCCTCACTCCTACAAGATGTTATTCCTCCTTGCCCTATACACGAAATCACAGCTTCCCTATCTTCATCAACATTTAACAATTCCTCAAAATATTCCCTCCATCTTCCCAATACCTCTAACTCTCCATTTAATAACTCTCCTCTCCTATTTTTAACTGACAAATCCATTTGTTCTCTAGGCTTCCTTAACTTGTTAATCTCACTCCAAAACTTTTTCTTATTTTCAACAAAATTTGTTGATAACAGCTCACCCACTCTCTCATTTGCTCTCTTTTTACATTGCTTCACCACTCTCTTAACCTCTCTCTTTTTCTCCATATACTCTTCCCTCCTTGCATCACTTCTACTTTGTAAAAACTTCTCATATGCTAACTTTTTCTCCCTTACTACTCTCTTTACATCATCATTCCACCAATCGCTCCTCTTCCCTCCTGCACCCACTTTCCTGTAACCACAAACTTCTGCTGAACACTCTAACACTACATTTTTAAACCTACCCCATTCCTCTTCGACCCCATTGCCTATGCTCTCATTAGCCCATCTATCCTCCAATAGCTGTTTATATCTTACCCTAACTGCCTCCTCTTTTAGTTTATAAACCTTCACCTCTCTCTTCCCTGATGCTTCTATTCTCCTTGTATCCCATCTACCTTTTACTCTCAGTGTAGCTACAACTAGAAAGTGATCTGATATATCTGTGGCCCCTCGATAAACATGTACATCCTGAAGTCTACTCAACAGTCTTTTATCTACCAATACATAATCCAACAAACTACTGTCATTTCGCCCTACATCATATCGTGTATACTTATTTATCCTCTTTTTCTTAAAATATGTATTACCTATAACTAAACCCCTTTCTATACAAAGTTCAATCAAAGGGCTCCCATTATCATTTACACCTGGCACCCCAAACTTACCTACCACACCCTCTCTAAAAGTTTCTCCTACTTTAGCATTCAGGTCCCCTACCACAATTACTCTCTCACTTGGTTCAAAGGCTCCTATACATTCACTTAACATCTCCCAAAAATCTCTCTCTCTCCTCTGCATTCCTCTCTTCTCCAGGTGCATACACGCTTATTATGACCCACTTCTCGCATCCAACCTTTACTTTAATCCACATAATTCTCGAATTTACACATTCATATTCTCTTTTCTCCTTCCATAACTGATCATTTAACATTACTGCTACCCCTTCCTTTGCTCTAACTCTCTCAGATACTCCAGATTTAATCCCATTTATTTCCCCCCACTGAAACTCTCCTACCCCCTTCAGCTTTGTTTAACTTAGAGCCAGGACATCCAACTTCTTTTCATTCATAACATCAGCAATCATCTGTTTCTTGTCATCCGCACTACATCCACGCACATTTAAACAACCCAGTTTTATAAAGTTTTTCTTCTTCTCTTTTTTAGTAAATGTATACAGGAGAAGGGGTTACTAGCCCATTGCTCCCGGCATTTTAGTCGCCTCATACGACACGCATGGCTTACGGAGGAAAGATTCTTTTCCACTTCCCCATGGACAATAGAAGAAATAAAAAAGAACAAGAGCTATTTAGAATAAGGAGAAAAACCTAGATGTATGTATATATATATATGCATGTGCGTGTCTGTGAAGTGTGACCAAAGTGTAAGTAGGAGTAGCAAGATATCCCTGTTATCTAGCGTGTTTATGAGACAGAAAAAGAAAACCAGCAATCCTACCATCATGCAAAACAGTTACAGGTTTTTGTTTCACAGTCATCTGGCAGGACGGTAGTACTTCCCTGGGTGGTTGCTGTCTACCAACCTACTACCTACATAAGAAATAATGGAAATACAATTAGTCCATTCCAGAAACCCAAAAATATTCATAAAAAAAATACATTTTATAGAGATTAATTACAGTTTTACATACACACAACAAATATAGTGTTCAATTATGTATTAATAAATTTAAATAAATTAAATTAAATAAATTAGTGAAGGGATTCAGGGAAACCGGTTATTTTCATATAGTCGGACTTGAGTCCTGGAAATGGGAAGTACAATGCTGGCACTTTAAAGGAGGGGTTTGGGATATTGGCAGTTTGGAGGGATATGTTGTGTATCTTTATATGTGTATGCTTCTAAACTGTTGTATTCTGAGCACCTCTGCAAAAACAGTGATTATGTGTGAGTGTGGTGAAAGTGTTGAATGATGATGAAAGTATTTTCTTTTTGGGGATTTTCTTTCTTTTTTGGGTCACCCTGCCTCGGTGGGAGACGACCGACTTGTTGAAAAAAAAAAAATTAAATAAGCATATAAAATAACATTTTACTTACCTTTATTGAAGATTGGTGATGCATCTGGAAGATAGGGAGGAGAGAGGGAGTTGGGGTTAGTGTTTGGATGGAGAATCCCCCTCCATGAGGACTTCAGGTAAAGCCCTCTCTGGGGTTTCTTCCCTTCTCTGTCTTTTAATGCCACTAGGACCAGCTTGAGAGTCACTGGTCCCCTGTCTCACAAAATAACTGTCCACAGTCCTCTGTTTCTGGCGCCTCTTTAACATTTCCCTAAAATGGGACATGGTTCTGTCACTGAACTGGTTCCAGGAGTTTTCTGTATCAGATCGGCATGCAACTTCCTTGCCTTTTTGCAAATAATCGTCTCTGAAACACTATCACCCGCCATCTCTTTATCCTTGATCCACACCAGTAACAACTTCTCAACCTCTTCAACTATTTGTGGTCTGTTTTTGGTTAGCATATTAACACCTTTTGCAACATCAGCTTCCTTGATTTGTTTTTTCTTTGACAGGATAGAACCGATGGTCGATTTGTTTTTTCCCATACATCCTGGCAAGCTCAACAAGTCTCACACCACTCTCATACTTCTGTATTATTTCCTTCTTCACATCTATGGTGTTTCTCACTTTCTTTACCACAGAGGTACCGCTAGCAAATTTCTTTGGCCCCATGGTAGCTTATTTCACAGTCCTACAAACACTAAACACAATGAAATAATCATAAAATGTTTGAATGAAAGCGCAGGTTAGTGTTCACTCAAGCATCAGCAAAGCCAGACTGGGTCACGGCGCCTGCGCGGGGACACGGGCAGAGGCTGGCGGACAGGTCCAGTACCTGGCGGTCCGAAAATAGGGGCGCGTTCGATAATAGGGACAAAGTTGGTTCGAAAAAAGGGTTCTATTTTTGAAGCGTTCGATAAGTGATACGTTCGAAATTTGAGGTTCCAATGTAAAGTCAAACCATCGTAAGTCAGGGAACATAATTGTTTTTGCACCATTGTAAAGTCAAACCATCGTAAGTCAGGGAACATAATTGTTTTTGCACCATTGTAAAGTCAAACCATCGTAAGTCAGGGAACATCTGTATTGTCTGTTGTCATATATGATTTTTTTTTATAGTTTGGTAAAGCACAAACCCAGTAATTAATGTACATCACTGTACAGTGCATGTAGTGGCAGCTGTGAAATGTAGTGGCAGCTGTGAAATGTAGTGGCAGCTGTGAAATGTAGTGGCAGCTGTGAAATGTAGTGGCAGCTGTGAAATGTAGTGACAGCTGTGAAATGTAGTGACAGCTGTGAAATGTAGTGACAGCTGTGAAATGTAGTGACAGCTGTGAAATGTAGTGGCAGCTGTGAAATGTAGTGACAGCTGTGAAATGTAGTGACAGCTGTGAAATGTAGTGACAGCTGTGAAATGTAGTGACAGCTGTGAAATGTAGTGGCAGCTGTGAAATGTAGTGGACAGCTGTGAAATGTAGTGGCAGCTGTGAAATGTAGTGACAGCTGTTGAAATGTAGTGACAGCTGTGAAATGTAGTGACAGCTGTGAAATGTAGTGACAGCTGTGAAATGTAGTGACAGCTGTGAAATGTAGTGACAGCTGTGAAATGTAGTGACAGCTGTGAAATGTAGTGGCATCTGTGTGAAATGTAGTGACAGCTGTGAAATGTAGTGGCAGCTGTGAAATGTAGTGGCAGCTGTGAAATGTAGTGACAGCTGTGAAATGTAGTGGCATCTGTGAAATGTAGTGACAGCTGTGAAATGTAGTGGCAGCTGTGAAATGTAGTGGCAGCTGTGAAATGTTTGTGACAGCTGTGAAATGTTAGTGACAGCTGTGAAATGTAGTGACAGCTGTGAAATGTAGTGACAGCTGTGAAATGTAGTGACAGCTGTGAAATGTAGTGACAGCTGTGAAATGTAGTGACAGCTGTGAAATGTAGTGACAGCTGTGAAATGTAGTGACAGCTGTGAAATGTAGTGGCAGCTGTGAAATGTAGTGACAGCTGTGAAATGTAGTGGCAGCTGTGAAATGTAGTGGCAGCTGTGAAATGTAGTGGCAGCTGTGAAATGTAGTGGCAGCTGTGAAATGTAGTGACAGCTGTGAAATGTAGTGACAGCTGTGAAATGTAGTGGCAGCTGTGAAATGTAGTGACAGCTGTGAAATGTAGTGACAGCTGTGAAATGTAGTGACAGCTGTGAAATGTTTGTGATTAATACATAAATACATAATATATGAAGAGAAGCCATGGAACGGGTGAGGTTTGAACCCCTGGTGAGTGAGTCCTGAAACTCCAGACCAATGACGAGATTTCTCTTCCTTAATTTGAAGGTTTCTGCTTCATTAAGAGTACAACTTAATATTTCATGTATTTTAAAAAAATCGTATGAAAAGTGCACCAAAATCTAATAGGTATTTTCTCCTCTCATATAATGGATATTTAGTCAAAATGTTTTAATTTTTGCAATGGGCAGAAAAATAGTCCAAAAAATCATTATATGTTTTGATTAAATTTGAGAAAAATCTTCATATTTTTAGATACAGAATAAAGGAGGCTACTGTATTTAATATATATAAGATTCCTTCTTTACCGGTTAGCCAGATTTGAGTCCTGGAGGTGGGAAGTACAGTGGCTGCACTTTAACCCTTAAACTGTCCAAACATAGATCTACGTTTGCGCGCATAGCGCTCCGACCTTGATTTTCTCTATAAGAAACAATGTAAAAAAAGTAGATCTACGTTTGGAGCGCTACGCGAGCAAACGTAGATCTATGTTTGGATTTGGGGTTGACGTCTAAACTGTCATATCTGAGGCCTCTGCAAAGATAGTGATTATGTGTGAATGATGGTGAAAGTATTGAATGATGGTGAAAGTGTTGAATGATGGTAAGTGTGTTTCTTTTTGGGTCACCCTGCCTCAGGGAGAGGTGGCTGATGTGTTGAACGAAAAATAAAACTCCTTCTTTTTTCTTTGATTCAGGTGTCCACGGAGCACTAATGGTGTATGAAGTGCGCTTCAATTCCGAGGTTCTTGCAGCTCTGCTTTCCATCCCGAGTGGAAAGACACTTCTAAGACGACACCTCAACACACACTTCAAGGAGCTGGTGGGTCGTTCCGTAGTACAGGAGAAGAGAGAATTGGAAGCATCATCGGGGTACACTCCACTCACCACCTCAGCTAAAGTTAAGGTCAGAGTCTTAAGTTTTTCTTTTTTGATAGATTTTTAGAGTGAATTTTTGTCATACAAAATTAAATCTAATAAGGTAATTTTATGTATATTTTCACTTTAGTGTTTTTTTTTGTTCTCAGTGCAAAAAATTCACCTCAATACATAAAATAATCAAACCAGGATTTAAACCCAAGGGAAGTGAGTCCTAAAAGTCCAGGACTCACTTGCCATGGGTTCAAACTCCACCCGTTCTGTGGTTTGTTTGTAATCGTGTTATTATGATTTCGTGAGTCATAAAGTAATGCAAGACAGTGATGGAGTGAGTGATGATGAAAGTGTTTCTTCTTTTTCAGGTTACCTGCCTCGGTGGGAAACGGCCAATGTGTTAAAAAAAATTAGTTTTTGTGTCATGTAGAATACAAAACTATGGATTTAAAAAATAAAAAAGCACAATACACAAATAACTCACACATAGGAGAGAGAGAAGCTTATGACAATGTTTCAGTCTGACTTGGACCATTTACAAAGTCACACTACGATTGAAAGCACCTTTTCCATTAACACCTCAACTTCCATTGTCTATATATATTTCTACAGAGGAGCAATCAAAATTCCTGCATACTAAATTATATGAGTGTGTGTAGTGTGGTTATAGTTTTACAGGGAGTTTATATAGTACAGGTCAACCATCACTAATCCGGTGTCACTGGGACCTGTTGGGTGCCGGATTAGTGATTTTGCCGAATCACAGAATGGTCTACACCTTTCAGCAATTCACCTGTCAACTGAATTTGAAATTATGCTAGCTGAAATTAGTGATGGAACTGGATTTGATTGCTGGATCAGTGATGGCTGGCCTGTATTTGCCAGAGAATTCCCTTTAGGTTACAAAGGCCTCCACAAACCTGCACTCTCAAAGAGAGCTTAAGGTTGAGAATTCTTCCAATAGAAGCAGCAAGAAAAAAAAGAGCCTGCCCATGAAGTGAAGCTATATGTGAAGTGTACAGCCTAAACATCTATTATTTTACTATCACTATCACGAAAATCATAGAACATAATACACTGATCTCCAAACCCCAAGTGGTAGCGTGACTTTGTATAAATGGTCCAAGTCAGACCGAAACGTCCGACTTGGATGGCTTATTTGTGTAACTATGGATTCCATAATCTTATAAAAGTATGAGTAAAAAGCAATCCAAAATACATTTCAGATGCCGAAAAAGTCACAGTTTTCACTGAAACGGAAGAAATCCAAAGCAGAAACGGATTTTGATGACCTGTTGTGTCCTCTTGATGAGAAGCCTCCAGTAGGTGCCATGCAGGACAAGGAAAAGGAGGTAAGGCAAGAATAAATAAAATGGAGAAGATGAATTCTGTGATGATAGACAAGTTGAAGAAGAAAGTAGGTAGACAGGTGTTGGATGAGGTAAGAGAAAGATTTGTGTCTGTGGTGGATGAAGTAAGAGAAAGATTTGTCTGTTGTGGATGAAGTAAGAGAAAGATTTGTGTCTGTGGTGGATGAAGTAAGAGAAAGATTTGTCTGTTGTGGATGAAGTAAGAGAAAGATTTGTGTCTGTGTTGGATGAGGTAAGAAAAAGATTTGTGTCTGTGGTGGATGAGGTAAGAGAAAGATTTGTGTCTGTGGTGGATGAAGTAAGAGAAAGATTTGTCTGTTGTGGATGAAGTAAGAGAAAGATTTGTGTCTGTGGTGGATGAAGTAAGAGAAAGATTTGTGTCTGTGTTGGATGAGGTAAGAGAAAGATTTGTGTCTGTGGTGGATGAGGTAAGAGAAAGATTTGTGTCTGTGGTGGATGAGGTAAGAGAAAGATTTGTGTCTGTGGTGGATGAGGTAAGAGAAAGATTTGTGTCTGTGGTGGATGAGGTAAGAGAAAGATTTGTGTCTGTGGCAGATGAGGTAAGAGAAAGATTTGTGTCTGTGGCAGATGAGGTAAGAGAAAGATTTGTGTCTGTGGTGGATGAGGTAAGAGAAAGATTTGTGTCTGTGGCAGATGAGGTAAGAGAAAGATTTGTGTCTGTGGTGGATGAGGTAAGAGAAAGATTTGTGTCTGTGGCAGATGAGGTAAGAGAAAGATTTGTGTCTGTGGCAGATGAGGTAAGAGAAAGATTTGCGTCTGTCGGATGAGGTAAAAGAAAGATTCATACATTTAAGAACAATATCATGGAGGAACACTAGCAGGCTACTGACTCATACTTGACAGTTATTTTTAATTGACAATAACCACAAAATTGAAGTAATTAACAGGTGAATTTTAAAAGTATCTTTAAACTTTACCAATTTAAAGAGTTTTTAATTTATGCTGGTTATGTTTAGTTTCATGGGATGTTATTTACTTTATGTTGTGTGAGGCGTAGTGTGAAAGGTTTTTTTTTTTTGGGGGGGGAAGGGGGGATATAAATTTGGACATACAGCATGCATGTGTGAGTGTGTAAGGAGTGAGTGGAGGCAAATAGTTTTTGGGACTTGATGAGCTGTTGGAGTGTGAGCATGGTAATGTTTTGTGAAGAGATTCAGGGATACCAGTTAGCCAGACTTGAGTCCTGGAGGTGTGGAGTGCAATGCCTGCACTTTAAAGGAGGGGTTAGAGATAGTTGTTGTTTAGAGTGACATCTAGACTGTCGTATCTGAGTGCCTCTGGCAAGGCAGTGATGGTGTGAATGATGGTGAAATTTTCTTTTTTGGGTTGCCCTGTCTTAGTGGGAGAAGGCCAACATATATCACAACTGCTGAGTTATTAGTTTACATACTACACTTAATGAATATTTTGCTTCACTCACAATTTTTAAAACTTATACAGTGGACCCCCGCATAATGATTACCTCCGAATGTGACCAATTATGTAAGTGTATTTATGTAAGTGCGTTTGTACGTGTATGTTTGGGGGTCTGAAATGGACTAATCTACTTCACAATATTCCTTATGGGAATAAATTCGGTCAGTACTGGCACCTGAACATACTTATGGAGTGAAAAAATATCGTTAACCGGGGGTCCACTGTATATGGTTTGACAGCATTGTTATGGAGGATTTAGCAGAATTTTTATAAATTTCAGTGTTTTTAAGGCCATATTCATGTTTTTTTATTTTTGTTTTTTTGGTAAACATGTTCTTTGTAGGCATATAATATACAGTAGTCCCTTGAATTATTTGAGTTCTATAATATATGCTCAGTGTTTTTAAATGTATTAGTATTCCACCTAATTCATCTAAGATTTTGAAACCTTCATGACTATACAGTACATTGTGTGGTGTGACATATTGAAATTATGTTGTATGATAGTAGCTTTGGAACTTGTACAGTACAGTGGACCCCCGGTTTACGATATTATTTCATTCCAGAAGTATGTTCAGGTGCCAGTACTGAACGAATTTGTTCCCATAAGAAATATTGTGAAGTAGATTAGTCCATTTCAGACCCCCAAACATACACGTACAAACGCACTTACATAAATACACTTACATAATTGGTCACATTCGGAGGTGATCGTTATGCGGGGGTCCACTGCATTTCATTCCAGAAGTATGTTCAGGTGCCAGTACTGAATGAATTTGTTCCCATAAGGAATATTGTGAATTAGATTAGTCCATTTCAGACCCCCAAACATACACGTACAAACGCACTTACATAAATACACTTACATAATTGGTTGCATTGGGATGTGATCGTAAAGCGGGGGTCCACTGTATTATATTCATGTGGATGTGGATAGAGTAAGAGGAATTTTGGTGAATTTCTTTGTGGATGCTGTTGCTGGTAAGAGAGAATGGGATGTTTTGATATGACCGGAGTGAAAGTAAGCGCTTGTTATGCTCCTGACAGTGTAGTACAGTACAGTTGCTCCTCGACTTACGGTATTTTGACTTACTGAAGGCGGCAAATCTGTAACTTGTATACATTTTTTTTTTACCTTTCAGTACTGGTATTTAGTTACAGTAATTATTTGTTAATTTACTTATTCAGTGACAGTAGTTTAAATAACTACTTATTTAGCATATCATATTCGCCTTCACAATATTTTTAACTTACGATGGACTCCTCTGAACATAACCCTATTGTAAGTCAACGACCACCTGTATTTAAGTATGAATGTATAAAAATATAAATTTTTGTAGTTGTAAAATGTGAGAAAACACTAGTGAGACGATGATAAAATAATGTTGGGAATCAAAAAATAACAGTACAGGTTTGACAGTTTCTTAGCATGAGTCTTCATTAAGTTGTTTGCACAAATATTAATTTTAAATATTAACTGATTCTATAATTAGTCTTTTTTTTTTTTTTTTTTTTTTTTTTTTTTTAATTTTTTTTAGCCTGTTTCCTTCTCTATAGTATAAATCCAATTATCAGAATTGGTCAGAATCAACTAAAGTCCAGATACTGCGATTAAATTTTTTGGATATTCTAAGTGCTATTTACTGTCTTCTTCTTCTTCTTTCAACACACCGGCCATATCCCATCGAGGCGGGGCGGCCCAAAGGAAATAACAAAAGTTTCTCCTTTTAAATTTAGTAATGTATACAGGAGAAGGGGTTACTAGCCCCTTGCTCCCGGCATTTTAGTCGCCTCTTACAACACGCATGGCTTAATGAGGAAGAATTCTGTTCCACTTCCCCATGGAGATAAGAGGAAATAAACAAGTACAAGAACTAGAAAGAAAATAGAAGAAAACCCAGACGGGTGTGTATATATATGTGCTTGTACATGTATGTGTTGTGTGACCTAAGTGTAAGTAGAAGTAGCAAGACGTACCTGAAATCTTGCATGTTTATGAGACAGAAAAACAACACCAGCAATCCTACCATCATGTAAAATAATTACAGGCATCTATTTCACACTCACCTGGCAGGATGGTAGTACCTTCCTGGGCAGTTGCTGTCTACCAACCTACTACCACAGGATGGTAGTAGCTCCCATGGTGGTGATGTCTACCTACCTACTACCACAGAACAGTAGTAGCTCCCTGGGTGATGGTGTCTACCTACCTACTACCACAGGATGGTAGTAGCTCCCTCGGTGATGCTGTCTACCTACCTATTACCACAGGATGGTAGTAGCTCCCATGGTGGTGATGTCTACCTACCTACTACCACAGAACAGTAGTAGCTCCCTGGGTGATGGTGTCTACCTACCTACTACCACAGGATGGTAGTACCTCCCTCGGTGATGCTGTCTACCTACCTATTACCACAGGATGGTAGTAGCTCCCTGGGTGATGCTGTCTACCTACCTACTACCACAGGATGGTAGTACCTCCCTGGGTGGTGCTGTCTATCTACCTACTACCACAGGATGGTAGTAGCTCCCTGGGTGATGCTGTCTACCTTCCTACTACCACAGGATGGTAGTAGCTCCCTGGGTGATGCTGTCTACCTACCTACTATCATAGGATGGTAGTACCTCCCTGGGTGGTGCTGTCTATCTACTTACTACCACAGGATGGTAGTAGCTCCCTGGGTGATGCTGTCTACCTTCCTACTACCACAGGATGGTAGTAGCTCCCTGGGTGATGCTGTCTACCTACCTACTACCACAGGACAGTAGTGGCTCCCTGGGTGGTGCTGTCTACCTACCTACTACCACAGGACAGTAGTACCTCCCTGGGTGATGCTGTCTACCTACCTACTACCACAGGATGGTAGTACCTCCCTGGGTGATGCTGTCTACCTACCTACTACCACAGGATGGTAGTACCTCCCTGGGTGATGCTGTCTACCTACCTACTACCACAGGATGGTAGTACCTCCCTGGGTGGTTCTGTCTACCTACCTACTACCACAGGATGGTAGTACCTCCCTGGGTGGTTCTGTCTACCTACCTACTACCACAGGACAGTAGTACCTCCCTGGGTGGTTCTGTCTACCTACCTACTACCACAGGACGGTAGTACCTCCCTGGGTGATGCTGTCCCCCAACCTACTACCTGGGTTACTGTCTTTATAATGTCTTAGTTCAGTGCTTAAATTTTCTGCTAATCACTATTACACACACATTAATTACACAAATAAGTCATCAAGATTCTCAACAGGTTAGTCATCACAATTCTTCAACAGTAAGGTCATGGTCAGAACATTAATAAACTTGAGAAATATATGGATATTTCTTGGATTCATTAATAAACATGAGAAATACGTGTATGGATATTTCTTGGATACATTAATAAAGCTAAGAAATATATAATATTTCCTTGATACATTAATACTTAAGAAATATATAATATTTCTTTGATTTTAGTTAACTTAAGAAATACAGTATATATTTCTTTGATACATTAGCCCTTAAACTGTCCAAACGTAGATCTACATTCATGTGCCTAGCACTCCGACCTTTATTTTCTCCATTTGAAAGCACGTAAAAAAATGTAGATCTACGTTCGGAGTGCTACGCACACGAACGTAGATCTACGTTTGGACATTAAGGGTTAATAAACTTAAGAAATACTATATGGATATTTCTTTAATAGCATCACTTAATTTGAAATTATGTAGCCCATCATAAGGGGAAAAAAATGATGTTATTGAATAATATATTAATTTTTGATGACTAGCCGTTTCACAAATTTCTCAAGTTCACAGCATTATAAAAAAATTATTGAGCAAAATTAAATCTTTGATTTAATGGACTTTAGAATTTTTTCTGTTGCCCCGAGGCAGGGTGACTGACAGAGAAAAATAAATGTTTTTCTTATGATGTTGCATAAACTGATATGCAAACAGTGGTTGAAGGTCGTTGTTCTTCATTGTTACATTCACCGCAAAACAATCTCATAATTATTTACCACAATCACTGTTACCCACCATTCTCTTCCATTCCCTGTTAGTCCGTTAAATTGAGGGTTTAATGTTAATACCTATCGGGGAAGCGGAAAAGAATTCTTCCTCTGTAAAGTCATGTGTGTCATAAGGGGCGCATGACTGACGGAGGAAGTCATACATGTAAGAGGTGACTAAAATGCTGGGAGCAAGGGGCTAGTAACCCCTTCTTATGTTTTTGTTTTCAGGTTACCCTGCCTCAGATATGACTGATTTGTTGAAAAAAAAAAAAGTATTGGTAAAGTTAGTTAAATGCTGAATAGAGCCATTAACTCTTAAACTGCCAATGGGGGTAAAATTGAAGTGCCCAAATATTTAAAAAATAAGATTTTTCATTTTTACCAAAAAAATCGGCCTTCGTTTTACACGGTTAAAAAATGAAAATGAAGTTACAACTTGCCCAGAAATAATTACACCTACCATCCGACTTACGACCTGCTCGACTTACGACCACTCGACTTACGACCGTGTTTTTATGCCAAATTTCTTAGAAATAAACAAGTGTTTGTGTTGTACACAGTGTTTATCCTAAACCTTACAGTATAAAATACAGTACTAACAACATAAAACGTAAAGTAAAACATGAAATACCAAAATAAAACAATAAAATAAAGTCATTACAAAAATGTTTTATTGATATTCAGTAGTAAAGTTCGACTTATGACCATTTTGACTTACGACCGGTTTCTCGGAACCGAACTCGGTCGTAAGTCGGATGGTAGGCGTATTTGAAATTTCTTGAGTGAGCTTCACATGGTAACCTGGTTGTTGTGTCCTTCATGCTTGCAATTCATTGCTATTAGCACTTTTGACCATTTTTTCATAATTTTTCATCATTTTTTTTTTTCAAAACGTGTTTTCAGACCGTATTTACAGGATATTTAGTGTTCAGTGCCTGATTATTTATTATTTCAAGAAAATTTTATTGTCTTGTGGCAGACTACCTAAACTCTACCTTAAACACTGGTTCAACACTGCCCTAAACAATGGTTAAACACTGTCTTAAACACCGGTTAAACTGCCATAAATATTGGTTCATCACTGCCATAAACACTGGCTAAACACTGCCTTAAACACTGCCCTATACACTGGTTAAACTTTGCCCTGAATACTACCTAAACACTGATTAAACCCTACCCTAAACACTGGTTAAACACTGACTAAAACACAACCTAAACACTGCCCTAAACACTACCCAAATGTTGCCCTAAACACTACCCTAAACACTACCCTAAACACTGCCCTAAACACTGCCCTAAACACTGGTCAAAACACTACCTACATACATGCACACCCATTGATCAACATGTGTGTCAGTTTAATTTGATTTTTCCAATGAAGGATTCTGGATAATTGGATTTTTACTGTATTAGTATAGTACAAACTTACTACCAGACAATTGATAATCTTCTCATCACTACTGTTAACCCTATTAAAAATTTAGGCATGTTAAAAATCTTTAACTTTGGAATGTAATTACTTAAGGAATTAGTAAATGTAGTTAATGTCTAGATTGCATGTTAATTGTACAGTGCAATCCCGGAGAATATTGGTTACTTAAACAATTTATTTTTAAATAATTTTGTTACCAAAATTAAGAGATGATTATGCTTTTGATAGACTGAAAATATTTTCTGCATTCAAGCAAACATATTTATCTTTATTTTTGAGTATATGATCAAGGTTGGAATATTAATTAAAACTAGTTGAAAAACTAATTTTAATGTACTATGGAGTCCTGCTTAGCTGCTGTATAAGATGTAAATAAATGGTTCAGAGAACCAACAAGTTGATAAATTAGACACATGTGCAACTCTTGGGTATCTTTATTGAGGAAACGTTTTGCCACACAGTGGCTTCATCAGTCCATACAAAGGAGAATGGTGAGGAACAGGAGGAGTTTGAGATTGAGGGACTGATTATCTCAAAATCCTCCTGTTCTTCACCATTCTCCTTTGTATGGACTGATGAAGCCACTGTGTGGCGAAATGTTTCCTCATTAAAGATACTGTCTTGGCCAACAGAATTAAAATTAAAGACCGGTTTAGCCTGTATACAGTATAACAAAATTTGAATGGAGGCGAGTTGCTTAGACTTGGATATATTCCTGCTGGGTTGTTATGGGATTGCAAATTATTTTAACTCAAGTGACAAGGAACCATGTTTAAAACAAGAACAAAAAGGCACAATACCACAACTAGAACAATGCATAAATAACCCCCACATAGTAGAAAGAAACTTACGATGACGTTTCAGTTCAATTTGAACCATTAAATCGGTCCGAATTGGATCAAAACGTAGTTTTAGGTTTCTTCTTCCTATGTGCAGGTTGTGTAAAACAATTACTTTAGCCAGATTTTTCCTATAACTTTGAAGAATGGTTGCATTACCTATGACCAGTTTATGGTTTATGTTAGTGCAGCAGATACCCTTGCTGGACATCCAGGTTTTAAGTTCCCTACAGTATTCTTTGATTGTTAAATTTCAGTTTAATTGCAGAGGCCAGTACTAAGAGTAGATTGAGTTGCCAAGACACCCAAGTGACAAGGGTAACGTGTGATTTCAGTATTTATTTGTTGCTACCGGAGCAGAGCTATGCTTATGGTGTCTCATTTTCAGCCATTAAGTCAAATAACTTGTTAATATTACCAAATGTAAAAGGAGAACTATTGTTTTTCTTTATAGACCACCCTGCCTCAGTGGGATACAGCTGGTTCATTGAAAACAAAAAAGAAAAACTTGTTAATATTTCAGTGGTTATAATGCTTTCTATCACCTCTTTTGATCAGTTGCGTTGTTCCTTACCACTGTTTGTTGTTCCTGGTGTGTTTAACACACCCTGAAATCCCTATAAATGTAACTTGTTTATTATGGAAGAAATTGCAATAAATTGCATGATTGCAAATATGAGAAAAATATCACAACAAAAATGGGGAATAAAACCTGAGCGCTTTCGTGTGCTTGCACACATGAAAGTGCTCAGGTTTTTCCTATTTTCACTGTGGTATTTTTTCATGCTTTGCTTATGGTGTGTTTGGTAACATAGTGGACGTCTAGTCACATTTTGAAATACATATGTGCCATTAATGGTGACTAACATGCCGGGAGTAAGGGGCTAGTAACCCCTTCTCCTGTATATATTACTAAAGTTAAAAAGAGAAACTTTCGTTTTTGTTATTGGGTCACCCTGCCTTGGTGGGATATGGCCGGTTTGTTGAAAGATGATGATGTGTCGTTAATGTAATAGATGCTTTGCAAATTGTTGTGCAGCCAGAGGAAAATGCCTGAATCATGCAGTGTATGTAAATCATATAAGGAGATATCCAGTGTAATGTAACATTAATATCCTTTAGTCAAAATATTTCAGATTGAAAAAGGTTGCATAGTTTTAGTCTTGCATGGTAATCATAGCACAGTACTTTTGTTCTTAAAATCAGTTTAGCTGTATATTGTGCGTCACAACGAGGTCCTGCATTTTCGAGCCTGTTGTACTGCGTTATGAGTGTAACTTGTGTTGTATATGTGTGCGAAGTGTCATGCACCTCCTCCGCCTCTTAGCTTTCTCGTGTGGCTAACCATTTTCTCTTCTCCATGGCACTGCTTCCCACAGACCAATGGTGATGGCAGGCTTTGTTGAGGTAAATATACCTGTACGTATTGCCAGTTTACAAAATGTGTAAGCTTGTCAAAATAGTTATTTTATTAAGCAATCTCCTGGCAAGCGTGTAAGTCATGTATTTGAATTTCTTTATACCTTAATCAAGAGTTATAGACCTTTTAAATACTAATTAACATCTTTAAATTCCCAGCTATATGTAAGGAACTTGAAAATGTTTTTCAAATTAGCAAAATCACCTAAAATTACACAATGAGGAATACTTGTAATACAGAAACTTTTCTCAGTATTCATACCAAGAACTAATGCTTCTTGTCACCACTGCAGCGTCTCCAACGAGCATCCGCCCCACCAGTGATTGGCCGCATCACCAAGGTGTAGTTGGAAGACTCCACTGGTTGTCAGGTCTTTCTAGTCTCTGACCTGCCTGCACCTCACATCGTCGCCTGTGTCCAGTGCCTCTTTATTGACACGAGCCAGTGTACATTCATCCAAGTCGGGGATTTAAACTTTTAAAACCTCTGTAGTCAAGAGTTACAATTTATTGTACTAATTAAAGAATATCGGTTATAAATGACATTTCTAAATACTGTTTCATTAACTAAGCATAGTAATTATACATGGACAAATAATGCACATGTAGGAGAGAGAAGCTTATGATGATTTGGTCTGATTTGGACCATTTACAAGTCACACTAACACACAAGGATGTGTTACAAGTCACACTAACACACAAGGATGTGTTACAAGTCACACTAACACACAAGGATGTGTTACAAGTCACACTAACACACAAGGATGTGTTACAAGTCACACTAATGCACAAGGATGTGTTACAAGTCACACTAACGCACAAGGATGTGTTACAAGTCACACTAACACACAAGGATGTGTTACAAGTCACACTAACACACAAGGATGTGTTACAAGTCACACTAACACACAAGGATGTGTTACAAGTCACACTAATGCACAAGGATGTGTTACAAGTCACACTAATGCACAAGGATGTGTTACAAGTCACACTAACACACAAGGATGTGCTACAAGTCGCACTAACACACAAGGATGTGTTACAAGTCGCACTAACACACAAGGATGTGTTACAAGTCACACTAACACACAAGGATGTGTTACAAGTCGCACTAACACACAAGGATGTGTTACAAGTCACACTAACACTTTCATTAGTGTGCCTTGTAAATGGTCTAAGTTGAACCAAAACATCGTTACAAGCTGCTCTTTCCTATGTGCGGGTTATTTGTGTATTGTTCCAGTCATGGTATTGTACCTTTTTGTTCTAAATAGTAATTACCAGTGTTGATGACTTGGCAGTCTAAGTACCTTAGAAGTAAAGGAAGAGTTACATAATAATTAACAGTATATTGAATTAGTCAAATGAGAAATTTCGTCAAAAAACCAGATGCATATGAGACATACAGTACAATACTATTTCTTGTGCTCTGAAACAGACTGACTTCTATGAATGAATTTTCAGGCTTAGCAACCTGTACGTGCCTTATTGTTATAGAATTTACCGAAATGTCATTCCATGCAGGCAGTTTGGAGAAATGGCAGTTGCATAACATTGCGTGTTTGGACTCGACTTGTAGTGAGTGCGATTGCTTTACCTAAGCCATTTTTACTTTTGATATGATAGATTTTGCATTTTCTTTGAAATAAAGTTTGTTCTTTCTAAATAACTATTATTATTTTTTTTCAGTGACGTTTCTAAATAACTATAAATTTTGTTTCAGTCAAATAGCTTCGTGTTTTAGAATTTTTTGTAAAATTTTAGTTTTGTGTTAATAGAAATTAAGATAATTAAGTTTTAGTAGATATCTATTGACTCAACTATATTTTTTTTTATTTTTTGGGAAGGGAAATAAGTATCGGAAAAATGCCGAATTGTTTTCACTTAAAAAAATAAAGGTAGAGACCTGTACTTTTTTATATATTGACCTTGAGATTAGTGTGAAGGGACCGTAAGATTATTTTGTTCATTGGGATTTGTTGATGGACTACGAACCGTGGTTTGATGGGTTGATTGTTGCCTGCATAACTTGATCAACGTGTAATTTAAATTACCACGGAAGATGCTTGTACATGTTGTACAAGGTATAATAATACGGTTATTGGGGTCTTTTAGGGGGGTGTGTGCTAAAGTATTAGCATTGGTGGGTATCAGCTAATTTTTATGGTATTGGTATCGTCCCATTGTTAGTTTCAAGGAAATGCTTTTTTTTTTTTAATGCATCTAGTTAGGGTGACCCAAAAAGAAGGATTTTTTTTTTTTTTTTTAATACATCAAGGTTGGATGACCCAGAGAGAGGAAATGCTCATCTTGTTTTAAACAAAATGTTTGAATCGTTCTATTTATATAAAGTTTATTAATGAATTTAATATTGATTTTTCTCTGGCTGTTTTTTAGGATACTGTAATTTATTCAAAAAAAAAATCATGGAGTAGATGATTTATGAATGGATATTAGTGTTCATTAAGCTTTTCAGAAAATCATGCATTACCTCTCCTCAAGGTAGGTTGTTGAGGCCAGTGATGGGCTCGTGATCCAAGGAATTGAACGTGTCCTTCCATCCTTGGATCAAACCTGATTGCCTCTCATTCCCCAGGCGCTGTATGACTGACTCCCTAAGAGTTCAACACTTCCCACTAAATATAATAATTTTGCATTACCTGTCTGTTTCCCTACACTGTTTGGTTCATTATCACAATCTATGAAAATGAAAATGAAAATGTTTATTTGCTTACAATGTGTGGTTTACGTATTACAAAATATTAATTACAAAGAAAGCCACTAGCATGCCTAGGTATTTCGGGCAGACTAATCCTGATTCTTACTCTATATTGACACAGGTTATGGAGCAGTACATTTTAATATTCATTATTGCATATTGATATAAAAGTTAGGTAATTAACCCTTAAATGGTCCAAACGTATATATATATGTTCACCTGCGCAGCACCCAAATATTTTGAGAAAAAACAATCAGTTTTTTATAGAAAAAAAGAGCATGTGGTACCCAGGCATCCCCAATTTTTTTCAAATGGTGCACACTGAATGCACACACTGAGTGCGCACACTGAGTGTGCACATTGAGTGCGCACACCCATTCTCTCATGTCTAGGTGGTGGAGACCTATTGTGCCAATGTTGAATAAATCACAAATGAAACGTATATATACATTTGGGGCGTTACGCGAGAGAACGTGTATATATGTTTGGACCGTTGAAGAGGTCTAATGTAATTTGGTGCAGCTACGAGCATCAGGGACAGCTAAACTAAAGCTTTAATTCAGGTCAATAACCCTGCTTACTATGTATGTCAGAGTAATACAGTGAAAAATGAGGCACGTGTGCAACATTTGGCAATCTTTACTGCAGAAATGTTTCACCAGCCAGTGGGTTCTTCAGTCCATTACAGAGAAGAGCAGTGGAAGATGAGTTTGAAGTAATCAGTCCCTCAGCCTGGAGTCCATGTGTTCCGTCTGTCAAGATTGATGGACCGAACATATCGACACCAGGCTGAGGGACTGATTACCTCAAACTCCTCCTCATCTGCCACCATTCTTCTCTGTAATGGACTGAAGAAGCCACTGGCTGGCAAAATGTTTCCATAATAAAGATTCCCAAATGTTGCACCAGTATCTGATTCTTCAGCATATCAGCTTTCTAAACCATTTACATCATATAAGTAATACAACATTCATCTGTATGTAGTGTAGACATTGATGTGCTAACAATGTTGGCACAGGAGGCCTGGTCACAGACCGGGCCGTGGGGGCGTTGACCCCCGGAACTCTCTCCAGGTAAACTCTCTCCAGGTAAACATGAATGATTTCATTATATATACATGATGAAAACATTCAAGAAAACAGTTTTTACATATCAGATTTTCTATGATAATTTCTTGTAAGAACGTGGCAGCTTTCTACAACAAAACTCAAGATAGGAAAGAATATCGATATTAAAAAGTCAAATCTCTCTTCATATTCCTTTAATCTTTCTTATTTTAACCCTTAACCCTTTGACTGTTTCAGGCCCCTCTCTGAAACTGTCATTCTATGTCGCCAAATATTCAAAAAAAAAAAAATTATTTTTTCTTATGAAAATGTTAAGATTATTTTTCTGAGTGTTTTAGTCCAAAAAAAAAATTTTTGCCATTGGTACTTACCGAGATATAGAGCCGTGAAGTTTGCAGAAAATGAGCCGCGTATGGCAACAGCGGCGACTGCCGCTCACCCGGTAAACTTTAGTTTACTTGTATTTGAAGGTTTGTTGTTTTTTTCACTATTTTATTTTTTCACATAACTTATGTGGCCTATGAGACCAAAGTAAGGTGCAATGTATATATATACACTCGTTGTATACAACACAATAAGCACACAAACATAATTATCAATATATTGTTTAAAAAAACTTGTTTACACAAACAAACAAACAAACAATTCTTCTTCTTCTTCTTCTTCTTCTTCTTCTTCTTCTTCTTCTTCTTCTTCTTCTTCTTCTTCTTCTTCTTCTTTCTTCTTTTCTTCTTCTTTTCTTCTTCCCTTTTTCTCCTTTCTTCCCTTCTTCTTCTTCTCCTTCTTCTTCTTCTCCTCTTCTTCTTCTCCTTCTTCTTCTTCTCCTTCTTCTTCTTCTCCTTCTTCTTCTTCTCCTTCTTCTTCTTCTCCTTCTTCTTCTTCTCCTTCTTCTTCTTCTCCTTCTTCTTCTTCTCCTTCTTCTTCTTCTCCTTCTTTTTCTTCTCCTTCTTCTTCTTCTCCTTCTTCTTCTTCTCCTTCTTCTTCTTCTCCTTCTTCTTCTTCTCCTTCTTCTTTTCTTCTTCTTTTTCTTCTTCCTTCTTTTCTTCTTTTTCTTCTTCTTCTTCTTCTTCTTCTTCTTCTTCTTCTTCTTCTTCTTCTTCTTCTTCTTCTTCTTCTTCTTCTTCTCCTTCTTCTCCTTCTTCTTCCCCTTTCTCTTCTTCTTCTTCTTCTTCTTCTTCTCCTTCTTCCTTCTCCTTCTCTTCTCCTTCTTCTCCTCCTCCTTCTCCTCCTCCTTCTCCTCCTTCTTCTCCTCCTTCTTCTCCTCCTCCTTCTCCTCCTTCTTCTTCTCCTCCTCCTTCTTCTTCTCCTCCTCCTTCTCCTCCTTCTCCTCCTCCTCCTCCTTCTCCTCCTTCTCCTCCTTCTCCTCCTCCTTCTCCTTCTCCTCCTCCTTCTCCTCCTCCCCCTTTGGGTTTTGCGAGTGTGTGGCTTATATTGTTTTGAGTCAGAAGTCGGCAGCTGTCAAAGTGACATATTATCTCATTAGTCACTACCCCTACCCCTGTCAAAACAATGGGGTTGGATGCTGCTTCCCCTCCTCCATTCTATCTAATTATCTTTCTCCCTCATTCTATATCTTTCAATCTGTCTCTCTTTCTGTCTGCCTATCTCTGTCTCACAGGTACACATAAATACAAGTATACATAGTGTAAATTACCTAGGATAACCCAAGAAAAACCAGACAAAGTGCTATACTCTGCTTGAAGATGTGAGTAAACGTGATGACACAGTCTTGTGGCTCTCTCTGAGACAGAGAGCTAGATGGACAGACAGGGAGCTTGACAGACAGACAAATAGACAGACAGAAATGTTTGCGTAGCGCTCTGACCTTGATTTTTCCCCATTTGAAAGCATGTAAAAATAAATGTAGATCTACGTTTGGAGCCCCTCGCACGTGGACGTAGATCTACGTTTGGACAGTTTAAGGGTTGATATACAATACAGTAATGCTAAAATTTAATAAGAAAATAAGAACTTTAATGCAAATAATGTGAGTATTTTTATTTTTTTTATTTTTTAATACTTTAACTGTCTTCCATTAAGGTTGGGTGACCCAACGAAGAAGAAAATACTTTGACTGCCAGTCAGTCATTGTGGTGTCAGATGACAATAAACTGCAACATCCCCACCCTTTCTTCAGAGTGCAGGCACTGCACTTCCCACCTTCAGGATTCAAGCCTGGCTATCTGGTTTCCCTCAATCCCTTCATAAATGTTACCTTGCTCACACTCCAACAAGATGTCCAGTCATAAAAACCACTTGTCTCCACTCACTCCTATCTAACATGCTTACACAAGCCTGTTGGATGTCCAAACCTCTAGAACTCAAAATTTCCTTTCCTGGGATAATCCCTACACCTTCCATCCCAGATTTATATGCCCTAGTTAGTCTCTTTTTTTTCTCCATCCTCTCTAGATGTCCAAACCACTTCAATAATCCTCTTCAGTCCTCTGAATAGTTTTTTTTGTAACTCCACCCCTCCTAATCTCCAAACTCCGAATTCTCTACATGATATACACGCCATGCACTGCCTTCAAACGTGACATCTCCACTTTCTCCAGCCTCATCCTTGCTGCAACATTCAAAACACATGCAACAGTGTTGGTAGCACTATACTCTGGTATATTCCCATTTTTCCTCCATAGATAGTTTTTATCTTTGCATATGCCTCAATGTACTGCCCACTTTTTTTCCTTCATCACTTCCAAGGTTCACATCATCTCTCACAGAACCACTCATTAACAATTCCACTCTCAAATATATGAACACATTCATCTCCTCCATACTCCCTCCCTTCGACCTGATATCCATTTTACTCTTTTTCTATAGTACATTAATTACTTTTAATTTCCTTCTTTTATGTACCCTCCCAAATTCACTTACCAAACTTTGAAATTTCTCTTCAGAATCTCCCAGAAGAACTGTGTCATCGGCACACAGGAACTGACAGCTCCTGTTCCATACCAAAGTCACATCTTTCATTGCCACACCTCTTTATTTTACAACCCTATCTATAAATATGTTAAACAACAATATTGACAACATACATATTATCAATATATTACTCAAATTTAACATTTTTTTTTTTTAAATTACTAAATGTAAGGAGAAGAAGAGCTATAATTTTTTTTTTGTGTCGCCCTGTCTCGGTGGAAGATACCCCGTATACTGAAAAAAAAAAATATACTAAAATTTGTATAATAGTTCAGAAAATGTTGATCTTATAAAATGCACGAAACCCACAAGGTTCATACAGTGCTATATTTCTTTCTCTATTAAAACTTATGTTAGCAAGCCTTTAATTATCCAAAGAATGAGAATTGGTAGCTTTGTCTATCAGTAGCAATGATCAGGGAACAGTCAACAATCAGGAAATAAGTCTATGTGCCATTTGAAATTTATTAAGAATATTAAACACACACAGCAAAGGAGGCCTTTTTATTAGATGTTTTGCCATAAACAGTCTTATCAAATGTATTTAAG